GGGAGGGGGCTAGACCCAGCGATATCATGAGGTCTCTTCCAGCCCTAAACTTCTGTTCACTGTATAGTTTGGAGCAGCTTTAGGAATGAATCAGGGCTGCATTCAAAAGGAGACTATAATCTATGACTCCTAGCTGAAGCAGGGACATGAAACTAGAGCCCAATTAAATGTGGGGAAAGATGATGAAAAAATGGATATGGAAGTGAGGTCATAGGTTTTAAATTAGGGGAGGGAAAACATAAAAGCCACCAATGTCATCCACAGTTATCACACTTCAGAGAACTGGCAGACTTGCTTAGAGGGGCTCAGCCCAGATATGTGAGACTACAGAAGAGAAAAAGTTACTCACAGCATCTCCTGTCACGGTTTCTCGCTTGGTCCGATGGCCCTTATGGCCAATGCCAGGGGGAAGTATGCCTCAAAGCTCTATGGGGCCACAGATGAGGGAGTAAATGGGGGTGCACAGAAAGAGGCAACCAGAACCTTACCAAGAGGTTCTTGAGAAGCCAGAGCAGGAACTTTAGCTCAGCTGACTCCAGGTAGATGAGTGTGCCAGGGTCCCCCTCTCCTCACAAAAGGAGCAAGTGCCAGGAGACACTGTAAGGTGTGCTGGCAGCCTGTCACAGCTCCAGAAACTGTAAGAAGAGAAAGGAGCATCTAACAGTTAACCCTGCCTTGGAGAACTGATCGCTGCCATAAAGCTCTTCCACAACACTAGGCAAGCTACCAAAATCAGTCTTACAGGTGTGAGCATTAGTTTAATATTCTGGATGTCCAAGAGACATGGAACTTGATTTCTATATTGCTAAAAATAATGGGTTAGGCCCCAGAATAGTTACATTGACCCCTACATCATTTTTAAATGTAAGAATACTGTTTTATTGTGATACAGTATGATTTTTTAGGTCTGTTTTTTTTTTAAATTTCTGAACCCCAGCCTATTCCCAGTAGAGTAAACGTGATATTTTGTGTTATAAACTGTCCCACATGTATGGAGAAAGGTGATTTTGGCTCTTGGTGATGCAAGAGCTCTCACCTCCACCTCTTAGTTTTGTAAACCCTTATCCATGTCTCCCACCTCAAGCATCTCTTCCAAACTGAAAAGGCCTTGCCTCTTTAGTCTCCTTTCTCTAGTCTCTAGATGCAATTGTCTCAAGACACCTTCGAGTGAGAAAGTGCCATATCATCATAGACATCATAGAAATCAAGGGCTGGAAGGGACCTTGAAAGATCATGGAGTCCAGCCTCAGCAAGGTGCCTGGCCAGTCTCTTGAAAACTTCCAGGGTTGGGGACTGTCTCCAAAGAAGAAGATGAAGTTGGTCAGACATGAAACCATTTTGGCTGTCCTTCAGCATGTAAGTGTAACTTTTCAGCCCTTGCAATTGTTTAAGTAACTGTGACAAGAGCCAAGCCTCCAGGGGTAGGCGAGTACCATGAGCCCCAAAAGGAGCAGACTTTTAGCATTTCATAGCGTTTAAACCAAGCCCCTGCTCTGGGGAGCCTGATGGGTTAGTTGCAGACCAGCACTACGTGCGGCCATGGCACCGCACAGCACAACCCCGCGCCTACTCCTGCTCTAACATGGTGGAGACACCCCTAGAATCCCGTTCCCCACGTGTGCGGGGCGGAGCACGGACTACATCTCCCAGAACGCCCCACGCCCCTCTGCGCGGTATGCTGGAAGTGAGGCACCGCCAGCCTCCGAGGGCGAGCGACCCGGCTGCCGTTCCGCGCGGAAGGCGGGCGTGACCTCCCGGAAGTGATTGAGACGCAGCTGGCTCGGAAGCGAGCGGGCCAGAGGTAGCGGCGTTGACAGGCGAGTCCTGGCGGGAGTGGGTGGGGTGGGCGCGGCGCGGCTCGGGGG